CACACCACCACGCCCAGCTAATTTGTTTGTAGAGATGGGGTTCTGCTATATTGCCCAGACTGTCTACCTTCTTCTTCTGGTAACCGAATACGCCTTCATTTGAGGAAATTGTTCCTCCCTCTTCTGCTCACCTGGTTTGAAAAGAGTAGATCCTACTTCCCTGCCAGGAAGAGGAACTGACACAGGTGGGCAGTCCTGGCGTCCACCCTCCCCTCTAGAGACTGGTTCAGAGACATGCACAAGATACCAGCTGGGCATTCGATTGATTTTCTCCAGCATTTTTTTTTCTCAATGTTACTAGGAGAGATCCTCTTTCTATCCACTTAAGAGAAACACAGGCATCCACCGTTCCAGCCCTGTGCAGAAGCCAGTCTGAGAAAATGAACTTGTTGGAGTCTCCGGCTTTGGCCATCCCTGGGGTCAGCTCCCACCACTGTCTTTAGGTACGTTGGTTGTAAAACCCAATTAGCTCACTTTTGCCCAGGTGGTTCAAATTGTGTTTCTATCATTTGTATACAAGGGAATCCTAACTGATGGACCCCTGAGAACATAAAATTTCCAACAGAAAAGGCAATGTTTGTACTTTCCAGGGTACTCACTAAAATAATTTCATGAATCACTTTCTTTTTACTTGTAGAATAGGGGTTGCAATCTAGATGTCAAAAGGGAAGAGACAGGCAGATTAAAAGGCCTAAATGAGGGAAAGTGGAACCCTGGGGGCTGACAGGTGTCTCTGTCCACTACCAGATTCAGCAAATTGTTTTCTTGAGGGAATGTGGGCCCAATATTACTGAATCTTTCAATTTTTTCAGGCCAAAAAAAAAAAGTTAAAATCCCAATTTTAAGGAGAAATTTTCTAATTTATAATTCATGACAACAAATTCAGTTCATCATATTGACCAGACGCATCCATGAACCACTCTCTTGGAAGCTCTGTTATGAAATGTAGAGTGAACTCACCGATTTTAGAGCTGAGCCACTGCTCCACACCTTCTCGGAGTTCCTCATTCCTCCCTCACCTCCATCACCAACACAGAAAAATGTTAGACACTTCATAAGCATTGCTAACAAGAACAGAGAAAACTTCACTGGAACAAGTGTGCTGGGTTTAGCAGCCACGTCACTCAGCATATCCACCTAATGGAATGTGATTTGAATTAGTGCCTTAAGAAAAATACAAATTACTAACCCGGGGCAGTGGCTCACACCTGTAATCCCAGCACTTTGGGAGGCAGAAGCGGGTGGATCGCTTGAGGCCAGAAGTTCAAGACCAGACTGGCCAACATAGGGAAACCCCATCTCTACTAAAATTACAAAAATTACCTGGGCATGGTGGCACACGGCTGTAGTCCCAGCTACTTGGCAGGGTGAGGCAGGAGAATGGTTTGAACCCAAGAGGCAGAGGCTGCAGTGAGCTGAGATTGTGCCACTGCACTCCAGCCTGGGTGACAGAGTGAAACTCTGTCTCAAACAAAAAGAAAAGAAAAGAAAAAGAAAACTACAAATTACAATATGTTATGTAGTGGTGGGCTGCTGATGGTACAGTTGAAACTGTAGGTGTGAAATCCCTAAAGGCCAAAGTTCTACTTTATTATGCTTAAACACACGATGCGTTTGCCAGTGATTTCTCTGTTGCCTACAAGCTTCAAGCCCGCTTTTTTAGACACCACACCATAAGGCTTGGAGCTAGGAGTCACACCTATTTCTCAGACTCTCTCGTCAGCTGGCTCTCAGTTAGCTTCCACCAATGGAAAACACTGGCAAGAAATAGGAAGATGGGAGATCCTGAGAAGAAACTCACTTAGCGCTTCTAGTGTGAGTTAGCATCCGTCCAGCAGCAGTACACAGCAAGCCTCCTACTTCAATGCACCCCATCCGAGCGACCAGCAGCAGCTGTCACGGCTGTCCCCTCAACCCCATGTGGCAATCTGAGCACCAGCTGGCCCCACCCTTTGGGATGCCCAAGCCCTAACCACAAAGCATCACAAATCAATCAGAAATCCAAGCGTCAGTCCTCTCGATACTTCTCCAAGATCCTAGGTTTTGATAACATCACTTCTCCCCTTATATTCTCTCAATGCCTAAAGATGTTATCTGTTTTCTCAAAGTATTAATCTCTGGGTTAACCAATTCTCTGCATTAAATTTCTTCTGCTTGAAATAATTAACATGTTTCTCTTTTCTTCATTCAACTTTGACTGATAGCAGTTATTAGAATAAAAATATACTTTGTATGCTAGAATTTCTTTTTCTGAACTCGTAATGTGAAAAATGGTTTCTTCAAATACCAAGATCTTTACTACAGGAAAATTGTTACCAAAAAACCACAGAAATTGTTCTGTAAAATCCTAGTTAGGGCCGGATGTGGTGGTTCATGCTCGTAATCCCAGCACTTTGGGAGGCTGAGGTGGGCAGATCACCTGAGGTCAGGAGTTCAAGACCAGCCTGGCCAACATGGTGAAGCCCTGTCTCTACTAAAATACAAAAATTAGCTGGGGCGTGTTGGCAGCCACCTATAATCCCAGCTACCCAGCTACTCAGGAGACTGAGGCAGGAGCATCACTTGAACCCAGGAGGCAGAGGCTGCAGTAAGACTAGATTGCACCACTGCACTCCAACCTAGGCAACAGAGTGAGACTCCATCTCAAAAAAAGAAAAAATCGCTATTAGGATACTTCAGCTACTTATGTCGAAATCTTCATGATTCATAAAAGCACTTGGCCAACCAGGCGCAGTGGCACATGCCTGTAATCCCAGCACTTTGGGAGGCTGAGGCTGGAAGACCCCTGAGGTCAGGAGTTCAAGACCAGCCTGACCAACATGGCGAAACCCCGTCTCTACCAAAAATACAAAATGTAGCTGGGCGTGGTGGTGGGCACCTGTAATCCCAGCTACTCGGGAGGCTGAGGCAGGAGAATTGCTTGAACCCGGGAGGCAGAGGTTGCAGTGAGCCAAGATCACACCATTGGACTCCAGCCTGAGAGACAGAGCAAGACTCCGTCTAAAAAACAAAAAACAAAACAAAACAAAAAAAAACACTTGACCTACAGTGTCTTTCCTAATCAGCATTTATATCCCAAAGCCCTTCTTCACTCTTCAGGAGTCCATTTCTATACACACCAACTGAAGCCAATACTTAGGAGCCAATATTCTTAGGAATGTTCTGCCAATTAGGCCAGTGGATTTGGATCTGGATTTAAGATGAGCAAATAAGTGTTTAAAAATCAGATTTTATAAGCCAGCCATGTTTGGGGGAGAGAGCAGTAATTACTCATTCTAGAACAGAAGGCTTCATTTTATGAAAGCATTTGCCTGAAGATATCTTTAGAAATTTACATATTCAAATACATATTTTCAAAAAATGAGATTACCTTTTTTTTTTTTTCCTTTAGAAACATCCACACTGATATGGTTTGGATTTATGTCCCCGCCCAAATGTCACCTCAAATTTTAATCCCCCATGTTGGAGGAGAGGCCTGGTGGTGATTGGATGATGGAGGCAGATTCCCCCTTGCTGGTCTCATGATAGTGAGTTCTCAACAGACCTGGTTGTTTAAAAATGTGTGTCACCTCCCCCTTCTCTCTCTTCCTCCTGCTCTAGCCATGTAAGACATGCCTGCTTCCTCTCCACCTTCTGCCATGATTATAAGCTTCCTGAGGCCTCCCAGACATGCTTCCTGTACAGCCTGCCAACCTGTGAGTCAATTAAACCTCTTTTCTTTATAAATTACCCAGTCTCAGGTAGTTCTTTATAGCAATGCTAGAACAGACTAATACATTCACCAAACTAATAATTATGGCTATTCTCTGTATATGGGAATTGTTTTAGTATTGTCTCTTCTTCTTACAATAAGTACACATTACTTTTATTATAATGGAAAAAATATTCTGAAGTTCCTCTAGTGCAAATTTTAAATACTTGAATTCTAAAGCTAGGATTCACCTTCTGTTTGAATGAAAATGCCTCATGTATGCCTTTTCAGTAAGCATCTACTGAGCATCTATGGAGTGCCTGGTGGTGTACTAAGAGAACCCCAAAGAAAAATTCCTGTTCCTGGAGAATCTAAACCCTATTGGCATGGTTCACAGGCATCTTTACAATAAATAGCCAATACATGATAGACCTTCAATAAACACTTGTTTAATGAATATATATATGCATGTACCATCATAGGATTTATTTTTCAAACTCTTGTTTCATAGAGGATTAGCCACATTCAGTTCACTTATCACACACACATCATACTTCATCACTTCTAAGATGCAGATTGTCCACATTTCAACTCTAAAATCAGAATGAAGCTTACTGTCAATGTGATTTTTTTTAAGTGTTATATCAGACAATTTGCAGCATTTTCTCTTTCATAATGGTAAATGAGATGGTTTGGCTGTGTCCCCACCCAAATCTCATCTTGAATTGTAACTCCCATAATTCCCATGTGTTGTGGGAGGAACCAGATGGGAGGTGATTGGATTATGGCAGTGGGTCTTTTCTGTGCTGTTCTGGTGATAGTGAAACAGTCTCACAAGATCCAATGGTTTTAAAAATGGGAGTTTCCCTGCACAAGCTCTCTCTCCTTGCCTGCCGCCATCCATGTAAGAAGTGACTTGCTCCTCCTTGCCTTCCACCATGATTGTGAGGCCTCCCCAGCCATGTGGAGCTGTGAGTCCATTAAACCTCTTTTTCTTCCCAGTCTTGAGTATGCCTTTATCAGCAGTGTGAAAACAGACTAATATAGTAAATAAAATAACAATATGTCTTATCTTGACAGCATCTTAGATGGAATGAAATACAATATATATTCTATTTTATAAATACTTTAGAAAATACATGTGAATTGTTGGGCATGCACCCCCTGAGGTTCAACTGGGAAACGTTTTCACAGGACCACTCCATTCCATGAACGTTCAAGCCCCCAGTGATCACTTGAAATCCACAACTAGTAATTTATATAAATGTTAAAATCAACAGCACACAAGTAGCAAGTTTATAAAAATGTGTGCATTTATGAGAGTTTACTTCTCAAATTTTTCAAATTATTATTGAACGTTAAACACATATTTCTCATATTGAACTTTAATAAGGCATAAGGGTATATAAACATTATGTACATTTCTAAACACTCATGCACTTAAAAGACTTTTGTCTTTTAATGTTTGAAGTTAATCAAAGGTTTAAAGTTTCTAAGAAACATGAAAATGACTAAACGGTGTAAGAACTGCAAAGTTATAAAAGAAAAACCATTAACATCTTATTGGAGAGATAAAATTAACTATGAGAAAAATGAAATTTTGTGACAAAGACAGGCAGAGAACATTACAAGAAAGAGAACAATTTAAAATTTTTTTAGTGGGGTGTCGTGGCAAGTGCCTATGGTCCTAGCTACTCCGGAGGCTGAAGTAGGAGGATTGCTGGAGCCCAGGCAGTCAAGGCTGCAGTGAGCTGAGAGCATGCCACTGCACTCCTGCATGGGCAATAGAGCAAGACCCCATCTCAAAAGAAAATTTTTAAAAAGGACAAAACATTACCAAACTAATAAAATGTGAATCATCTGTAAAGTATAATCTATACTAACTACATAATAAAGGAATATCTCTGAGCAGTGCAATGTAAAATATTGGGCACATGCATTAAAAACATTAAATAAATACAACAACATTTTAAAATAATAATTGACATCCAGGCAATAATTATTGTGGTGGTTTGTGCCCATAATCCAGGCACTTTGGGAGGCCAAGGTGGGAGGGTTCTTTCAGCCCAGGAGTTTGAGACCAGGCTGACCAACATGGCAAGACCCTGTCTTATCAAAATAAAAAAAAAAAAATTCCAGCTTGGCCAACATGGCAAAACCTCATCTCTACTAAAAATACCAAAATTAGCCAGGCATGGTGGCATGCACCTGTAATCCCAGCTACTCAGGTGGCTTAGGCACAAGAATTGCTTGAACCTGGGAGGCAGAGATTGCAGTGACCCCTGATCACGCTACTGCACTCCAGCCTGGGTGACAGAGCAAGAGTCTGTCTCAAAAAAACTTAAAAAAAAAAATTTTTTTTTAATAATTATTGACATCCAACCTGGGCAACACAGTGAGACTTCATCTCTACAAAAATATTTTTTTAATTATCCAGGTGTGGTGGCGAGTACCTGTAGTCCTACATACTTGGGAGGCCGAGGCAGGAGGATTGCTTGAGCCAAGAAGTTCAAGGCCACAGTGAGCTATGATTGCATTGCTACACTCCAGCCTGGGAGACAGAGCAAGATGCTGTATGCTGTTTTAAACAAATAGTTTTGTTTTGTTTTCTTTTTAGACAAAGTCTTGCTCTGTCGCCAGGCTGGCAACCTCTGCCTCCCAGATTCAAGCGATTCCCCTGCCTCAGCCTCCCGAGTAGCTGGGACTACAGGCATGTAGCACCACACCCACCCAATTTTTTGTAGTTTAGTAGAGATGGGGTTTCACCATGTTGGCCAGGATGGTCCAGATCTCCTGACCTCATGATCCACCTGTCTTGGCCTCCCAAAGTGCTGGGATTATAGGCGTGAGCCACCATGACCAGTCAACAAATAAAATTTTTTAAAAATAATAATTATTGACATCTACTAGTTTAGTGACTGTACACAAGGTCTATCTAGTTAAATCATGTAGTCCCTTCACCATCTCTTAGCCTTCCTCTTCCATATTTTCTCACAAAAGGAAGCTGATGTGGAAGCTGGAAGAAGAGAACAGGAAGAAATGGGACAAGCCATACTTTCAACCATTGGTGACAATTGCCTATCCCTTGCCTTCTGATCCTGTGACCATCAGGGCCTCCAAAATAACTTTACTGAGGACCTTTGAGAGCTGCCGTCATCAACTCTTTCCTCTCCCATGCTACGCTTTCTTCCTTACTGGGATTAGGAATATAAAATCTGGATACACACAGGAGCTCACCTGGCACATCCCCCTTCCCTGCTCTTGCCAACTCAAACCCTACCTCACCCACCCACTGATCAGAACAGAATTGGGCAGTACCAGCCAGGAAGTTCTTTTTCCTATTGCATGCTTTAGGGAATGATTTTCAAACTGGGTAAGTTTCTGTTACTATAAAATAAAAAAGAGAAATTCACTTAAGATTGTATTATACATGGAACATAGAAAACAAAACTGGATTTTTGTAATCAGCATGATATAAAGATCTAAAAGACAAGGAAGAGGTGAAGACTAAGAAGAATATAGTACTATTATGACTACAAGTTTATAAAAATATTATCAAGTCATAATTATACTGCTATTATTCACTGGAGTAATTTTCCATTGACTTCAAAGTGCAGATCTGTTGGTAGAATGAAAAGGGCAAGATAAAGGGCAGACCTAATCCATTTAGGTGAGATTGAGACTAAAATTTACAGAAGTGAGAAAATTGTCTTTAAGAAGATACTGACCGATTGTGTGGTGATGGTAGAGGTTGCTTTTTTATACAAAATATTTTCAAGAAAGCCTTTTGAAAGCGCTTGTGACACAATGGATACAAAAGGGGATTGACAAAGGAATTGAACCACTGAAGCCAAAATGCAATTCTGTACCAAACTGATTTAGGACCTGTCTCTGAGGAGTAAAATGAAAGAACAATTGTGAACAGAGAATACGGAGCCCAGCAAACAGCAAAAACTCCTAAGAGAATGGCCAGTGACTTGGCTAATCTCCTGGCTCTAAGCAGTTCAGCATGCTCCCTTTGGTGAAGAGCTACAGGATCTGATTGGGAGAAGGAACCCATTTTGGAAGCAATTCTATTGCTATTCATCTTGGTTCTTAAGGAATACATGAGACTGCTCTTTCTCCTCTGTCTCTCTGAATGAAGGGACACAGGCATTTCTGTCGATGCAGAAAGAGATCCCCTTGAAGAGAGTCCACATCTGAATGACTGTCCACAGATGTTGGAAGAGACAGCAGTCGGTCCAGGATGGCTTTGGCACCTACTGAGATGATCACGCTTCCACAGGCTCCAATAAATATTCGTGTTGAAATAAGCAACTAAGATGACTGGGATCAGGAACTCCAAGAATGATGTGATGGCAAGGATGTACCATTCCGAAAAAAATCCAGGTTCACATTCACTACCTTCATCCTTCCAAGTCTCTGAAACTAGAATCATTGGCCCATTCACTAAGAAGGCCAGCACCCAAACGGCCACCATCAGAGTGACAATCTTCAAGATCCCAGTATGTTGAGTTCTATAAGACACCTAGAAGAGACCAAATTATTTTCAATATAATGAATGTATATGGGATGCATAAAGTATCTCACAAGTCCTTAGAAATTTCAGGGATGTGCAAAGGATGGAGACATTAACTAATCTGGGTATCATGATGTGGACCAGGACAGAGGGTTTGACTTCAGAGGAGCCTGGGCCAAGATGCAGACTTTCTTAATGGGTTTCAAGAGGAGAAGACTGTAACCTTCAAGGTTAAATCCCTGATGCTATAGCAAATGTCAAAGCCAATGTGTAAAATAAGAAAGCAGGTTTTCCTAACTGACACTAATCTGAATGTCAAACAACTGAAGTTGGGCGCACCTTACCACAGTATTGCTCAATCTGCAGGCTGAGCATGGCCAGATCTTTTTAATGAAATAGAATAGTTGATGTCAGAGTGCATCACATATAGTGAGGGTAGGTGTTCTTTAATGATGTTTCATCAAATAAAGCAATATGTCTTTGGGAATAGAGATACATATATTTCAAGAGAAATGCAGTTCCTCTGAATCACAGCACCAAATGCATTTCTCACTGTAGTCACAGTCAAAAAAGTTTGAAAGCCCTTGCCTTATCTGATTCCAATACATACAAAGAATCTACTCTGTGGTTTTTGCTGAGACTTCAAGGTAGAAAAAGAAAGAGAAAGGACTCTCATCACTACCAAGAAGATTAAGCACAGACAAAAAGACTTTTTTTTTTAGTTTTTATTTTATTTTATTTTTTTGAGACGGAGTCTCACTCTTGTCGCCCAGGTCGGAGTGCAATGGCTCAATCTCAGCTCACTGCAACCACCACTTTCCAGGTTCAAGCAATTCTCCTGCCTCAGCCCCTTGAATAGCTGGGGTTACAGGTGTCCACTAACACGCCCAGCTAATTTTTGTATTTTTAGTAGAGATGGGGTTTCACCATGTTGACCAGGCTGGTCTCAAACTCCTGACCTCCGCTGATCTGCCCACCTCAGCCTCCCAAAGTGCTGGGATTACAGGTTTGAGCTACCGCACCCAGCCCAAAAAAGAATTTTAAACCTGTTGCAGATAAATACTGCATTGCTATTAAGCATTACCAAGTCACTTCTTGGTGTTCGTTCGTTTGTGACAGGGTCTCGTTCTGTTGCCCAGGCTGCAGTGCAGTGGCACAATCACAGCTCACTGCAGCCTTGACTGCCGAGGCTCAAGTGATCCTCCTGCTTCAGCCTCCCAAGTGGCTAGGACCACAGATGTACACCACCACACCCAGCTAAATTTTTGTGTTATTTGTAGAGATAATGCCTCACTATGTTGTCCATGCTGGTCTCAAACTCCTAGATTCAAGTGATCCTCCTGTCTTAGCCTCTCAAAGTGCTGTGATTATAAATATGAGCCCACCTAGCCCGTGCGCGTCACTTCTTTGTGTGTTTCCGCCTGACAAATACAATGTCAAGGCTGTGATGACCAGCCACTTTGAGAGACACAACTGTGGCTGGTGCCACCATCTTTTTTAAGGATGAAGAATATTCTAACTCCCCTTGGTCACAAGGACAGGCTTCTATAAAGGAAAATGAGATTCTGTGAGTGAGGACTGCCCTCCCACCACAGGACCCGCAATCCTTATGTCAATCCTGAAATCTTTAATAATGTCTTCTCAATCTAAAGACCCCTAAGACCAATCACTCTATATGAGGGATAAGGAACTCTTTAAGGTGACTTGGAACAGACAACCTCTCTGAACCTCATTTAAATTAGAAAGGTTTCGACCCAGTGAAGTGGCTCACGCCTATAATCCCAGCACTTTGGGCGGATCACGAGGTCAGGAAATCGAGACCATCCTGGCCAACATCGTGGAACCCCGTCTCCACTAAAAATACAAAAATTAGCCAGGCATGGTGGCTCGCACCTATAGTCCCAGCTCTCAGGAGGCTGAGGCACAAGAATAGCTTGAACCAGGGAGGGAGAGGTTGCAGTGAGCTGAGATAGAGGCACTGCACTCCAGTCTCATGACAGAGCGAGACTCTGTCTCAAAAAAAAAAAAAAAAAAATCAGTAAGGTTCCAAGGTTCCTTTCAGCTCTCATGTTCCATGTTTCTCTGATTTCCTCACTCACAGGCAAAAAAAAAAAATGAATCTATCCATGAAATTGGAACATGCTTCCTTTTTTCTACCTCTTGTTTCATATTTTTTCTGAAAATTTTAAGTCTCGTTCTACAGTGGTTTCTCAGGTTTTAAAGGGGTGCAGCATTGCCCAGCACTCTTTCCTTAATGGATCATATATGCTGAGAAGACCTCTATTGGCTGGAGGTAAAAAAAAAAAAAAAAAAAAAAAAAAAAGGCTAGTTGATAATTTAAAAATAAAAACACTAAGTTTTTTTTGTTTTGTTTTTTGTTTACTGTAGGGAGGTGGATTTGTTGTGTTGTTGTTGTTGTTGTTTCTCTCAAATTGCTGGTATTTCTGAGGCTAAGCTAAAATGCATATGGTGCTGGCCACAAGCTCTCACATGCGATGAACTTTTTTTTTTTTTGCCTTCTGCTTCCTGTGCCACTAATTAATACATCTCTTGCACTAAATCTAATGATTATGAAGATGGTAACAATACCCAGATGGTCCTAAAGCTGCATTTAGTGTTTAATTGCTCTGCTCAGCCTTGGTAATGATATAACACAATATGCTGGAAAGAGATCTCTCTTCCATTATGCATAAGGTCAATTGAGATAATGGACAGCCAAGGAGCTGTGAAGAGGATGCTGATCTCCGCATCTCCAGGGAGCATTTTTGTAAGATAGACAGTTCAAGCATTGCTTGAATCCGGACCCAGGCTGCTGGAGTGGTGTCCCTGAAATCCCGCAGTGGCCTAGCTCTTGCCCACTACAGAATATGCCCATTATTCAGGACACTGTCTCTTACCCTACTTTTTTCCCGCCTGTATAAAATATCCACACCTTCTGTCAATCAGGTTTTTTTGGCGAGGCCAAGTGGCCTACTAGAACTTGTTAGTGTTAGTAATGAGATGGATTTCAGGACCATTTTAAGGGCCTGTTGTGGGTTACATTATGTCCCACAAAAAGGTATGGTGAAGTCCTAAACCCCTCAGTACCTGTGAACGTGACTGTATTTGGAAATACGGTGTTTGCAGACGTAATCCAGTTAAGATGAGGTCATACTGAATTAGGGGTCACCCTATCCGATATGTCCTCATAAGAAAACAAAGACACAGACACAGACCCAGGGAGACAACACCATGTTACAACAGAGGTAAAGACTGGAGGGACGCACCTACAAGCCAAGGAATGCCAGGGGTTGCCGGCAACACTAAAAGACCGGCACAGAGCAAGATGTCCTGGAGCCTTCCGAGAAAGGATGGCCCTGTCGGCACCTTGATTTCAAATGTCTAGTCTCCAGAACCGTGACACAATAAATTCCTGTTGTTTTCAGCAACCCAGTTTGTGGTCCTGTTATGGTAGCCCTAGCAAACAAACACAGTGCCCCAGTGAGTCTCCCAGCAATGAGATTTCCTGTGGTCTTGATTTTATTGTCAAGTTTCTTTCTTCATTTGCAGGTAAAGAAATACCCTTCTTTTACTATCTTATTTCTGTATACTTTTTTTTTTCCCCCCCGAGACAGAGTCTCACTCTGTTGCCTAGACTGGAGTACAGTGGTGCAACCTTGGCTCACTGCAGCCTCCGCCTCCTCAGTTCAAATGATTCTCCTGCCTCAGCCTCCTGAGTAGCTGGGATTACAGGCGCCCGCCACCATGCCCGGCTAATTTTTGTATTTTTAGTAGAGACTTTGTTTTGCCATGTTGGCCAGGCTGGTCTTGAACTCCTGACCTCAAGTGATCTGCCAGCCTCAGCCTTCCAAAGCCCTGGGATTACAGGCGTGAGCGACCGACTGCACCAAACCATTTTTGTACATTTTAATTCCCATTCCCTCTAGCTACCATGAAGCCCTGCTGTTCTTCCCCACCCAACTCTGACTTCAGCCACACGGAATCTGCCCCTCCAGAAAACCTCTCTGAGAACTGTAATCATGTGCTCCACCTGCACTGGGCTTTTCTTTTCCAGATTATTGTCAGATTTCCATTCCTCAGGCCACCCATCCCTTTCCCCTATCACACTGTCTCCTGTACTTTCAGCTACAGTAAGAGTTCAGCTTCCCCACTGCTGCTTCTATGGGATCCCAGTGGTCTTTGAAGGCTTCCTTCTGTTTTCACATGGCTGCATTTGAACTATTCGCCAACAGAGGTACAAGGTCTACCTGAGCACCCGTGCCAGCATCCATACATTCACTTGTGGAAACCTATGTATTCTACTCTGTGCTGTGCACTGGGGACCCAGGATCTAGCCAACACATCCCTCACCAAGTTTACAGCCTGAATTGCCAGGGGAATTACTGGAGGCAAGAGTAGGATTTAAAAACAAAAAACAGGCCAGGCATGGTGACTCATGTCTGTAATCTTAGAACTTTGAGAGGCAGACGGGGGCGGATCACTTGAGGTCAGGAGTTCGAAATCACCCTGGCCAACATGGCAAAACCAGATCTCTACTAAAAATACAAAAAGTAGCCAAGCGTGGTGGCATGCGCCTGTAATCCCAGCTACCCAGAAGGCTGAGGTCCAAGAATGGCTTGAACCTGGGAGGCAGAGTTTGCACTGAGCCGAGATCGTGCCACTGCACTCCAGCCTGGGCGACAGAGCCAGACTCTGTCTCAAAGAAATAAAAAAATAAAAATAAAAACAAAAAACAAAAAGAAAGTCTACATTCCCTCTGGGCATCATCCCTCATCTGTCTGTAACCTCTAAACAGTTTTCCCAACTGGGTAAGATGTCCCTTTTCTGCCCACAAACCTGAGAGTAAATTCAAAAGCTGGAACATCCAGAGAAGGAAGCCCTAGGAACATCCAGAGGAGATTAAAAAGAAATGTTAACCCAGAAAGAAAGAAAAATTTGAGAGTATAAATGGAAAAGATTCTGAATTAGAGCATTATTTTTCAAATACTTGACTGTGATCTAAAGTAAAATAATATTGTATATCATAACCAAGCACACAGACAAAAGTATTCACAAAACAGTATTTACTTTTATTATGTGCAAGATACTCTGATGTTTTCTAATTTTTTATTTTGTTCTATTCCCTTTCTTTTTTTTTTTTTTTTGAGATGGAGTCTTGCTGCGACACCCAGGCTGGAGTGCAATGGCACAATCTCAGCTCACTGCAACCTCCGCCTCCCAAGTTCAAGCAATTCTCCTTCCTCAGCCTCCCAAGTAGCTGGGATTACAGGCAAGCGCCACCACGCCTGGCTAATTTTTTTGTATTTTTAGTAGAGGTGGGTGTCAGGCCTCTGAGCCCAAGCCTGTATGTATTCATCCAGATGGCCTGAAGTAACATAAGAACCACAAAAGAAGTGAAAATGACCTGTTCCTGCCTTAACTGATGGTATTACCTTGTGAAATTCCTTCTCCTGGCTCATCCTGGTTCAAAAGCTCCCCCACTGAGCACCTTGTGACCCCCATCCCTGCCAGCCAGAGAACAACCCCCTTTGACTGTAATTTTCCACTACCTACCCAAATCCTATAAAACGGCCCCACACCTATCTTCCTTCCCTGACTCTCTTTTCAGACTTAACCCGCCTGCACCCAGGTGATTAAAAAGCTTAATTGCTCACACAAAGCTTTTTGGTGGTCTCTTCACAAGGACATGCGTGAAAGCGGGGTTTCACCATATTGGCCAGGCTGGTCTCGAACTCCTGACCTCAAGAGATTCACTTACCTTGGCCTCCCAAAGTGCTGGGATTACAGAAGTGAGTCACCATGCCCAGCTGTTCTATTCTGTTTCATTCCATATTTTTTTCATTGAAAAAAAAAGGTCACAACCCACTAAATTGATTTCATAAATCAATAATGGGTCAAGGCCAGCAGATTGAAAAATATGAGACTATAGGCATTTGAATTGTTAATCCAAGCTGATCTGCACTCTCCACAGACAATACAAACTGTGGTGGACCCTGGTGCCAATGAAGTATGCGATGCTAAGGGGGAGACATAGCTGGCTGTCCTCCTACATCCATTCTCCCCTCCTTCCTATGTGGTGGCTCAACTACAGTTTCCCAGCTTCCTTTGTGGCGAGATGGGACCATGTGACTAAGTTCCACCAATAACATGTAAGTGGAAATGACTGTGTGACTCTGCACTACTTGGTTAAAAAAAAATAAAAAAATCCCTTGCTCTGGACTTCTTCCCTTTCTCCTTCCTGTCCAGAACCTAGTATGACAACAACCTGACTTTGACAATGCAGAGGAGGAGAATGGCCTACAGCAGAGGCCAGAAAACTACTGTCCGTGAAACAAATATGGGCTAGGCGCAGTGGCTCATGCCTGTAATCCCAGCACTTTGGGAGGCAGAGGCGAGTGGATCACCTGAGATCAGGAGCACAAAATCAGCCTGGCCAACACGGTGAAACCCCATCTCTACTAAAAACACAAAAATTAGCCAGGCATGGTGTTGCATGCCTATAATCCCAGCTACTCAGGAGGCTGAGGCAGGAGGATCACTTGAACCTGGGAGGCAGATGTTGCAGTGCAGTGAGACAAGATCATGCCATTGCACTCCAGCCTGGGTGGCACAGCGAGACCCCATCTCAAAAAAAAAAAAAAAAGAAAGAAATGTGGCCCACCACCTGTTTGGGCAAATAAAGTTTTATTGGAACAAAGCCAAGCACATTTTTTTATATATCATCTATGGCTGTTTGGGGGCTACAATGGTATATTTGAGCAGTTGCAACAGAAACAGTAGGTTCTACAAAGCCAAAATTATTTGCTGTCTGGCTCTTGATCACGAAGGTTTGCCAGTCCCTGCCCTAAAGGGTGCAGAGCCACCTGCCAGCAGCGTTCCTGGGTGAGTTCCTGGAGCAGAGAATCCACTCTTTCATGGACTGTTATGTGAGAGGAAAATAAACTTTTATCTTGCTTAAGCCTCCACATTTTGGAGACTCTTTGTCACAGCAGTTTATCTTTGCCTGATCTAATACACCTTCCAATTCTGTCAACCTCCAGCTGCACAATCGTCCCAAGCTAGAGCTGTCACTGTCCTCTCAACACCCCAGGACAGCACTTAGTCCATTGTACTGAACCGACTTGTTCCTGGATCTGCCTCCATGTAGATGACTATGCTCATCAAAAATAGAGACTCACATAAAAAAAGAAACAACAGATACCGGGGCCTACCTGAGGGTGGTGGGTGGGAGGAGGGAGAGGATCAAAAAACTACCGATCAGATACTATGCTCATTACCCTGGTGACAAAAAAATCTCTACACCAACACCCCCGTGACACTCAGCTTACTCATACTCACATAACAAACCTGCACACGTACCCCCTGAAGCCAAAACAAAAGTTGGAAAGAAAAATAAAATAGAAACTCTGCATATTCACTTCTGTATCCCAGGACTTAGCAAAATGCCTGTCACACAGCAGTCCCCCAAAGAGCTGGGTCCCTGAGACGGGAGTGAAGGAAGTTTCCCATCTAGGCCTCAAAGGTTTCAGATCACTGCCCCATATTTCTGTGGCCCCCTTATCCTTACTTCAACCTTATTTTGTCTTTTGATCCATTGCTGAGAAATTTAGTATGACTTAAGAATTTCCACTAACTCGCAGATGAGGCTATTCCAAATCTTGAGTAAGTTCCAGCTTTCTTGGCACAGGTTCTAAAATGGCACGAGAACTTGATCTTTCTGGCTGGTCCCACTGTGTAAACTGTAGCTTCCCTATATACTGTCTTTTCCTTTGGCCATTCAGAATTGATTTTCTCATCACATTTCAAAGTATGGCATTCTTTCTACTGCCCTCCAAGTTCTATTCCGAGGAATAGATTCAGGTCTCAATATGTCTGTGGAGTAGAACCCATAAACCTGTCATGAATGTCGTGTCTATCCAGTCTACTATAGACTCAATATACCAGTGGAGACAACTTGCCTTGGGTTTTCTTTGATTCCTTCCCATTTTAGTGGCACATAGGTGAGTGAATTATCCAAATTACACAACTAACAACCGGCAAGAACTCTATGCCAGACAACAAAAGGATAGGGCTCCTCTAAGGCCTGTCGATTCAATTAAACATTAGGCTTAAAAGAATTTTTGCCTGGGGACCCATATGTACATTCACACAATCTTCCAAGGGGGATAAATTAATGTTTTGACTTACAGCGTTTGAGACTGACAGGTATCGATCATAGCTGATGAGGACAATGTTGTATACAGATGCTGTACATAAAAGATAGTCAGTAGTGAGCCAAAATACACAGATTCCCTTTCCAAAATCCCATTCGAACAGCATGTGAGGGATGTACAGAGGAATGGAGATCACACCTGCACAAGGAAAACATAAATGTAAAAAAATAGCACACATCAATGAACACAAATGGGCATGTTTTAATGGCTACACAACACCATGACATATCTGAATTCACTACAAATGCTTTGGCTGTAATTTAAAAATTCATGGTACTTCATCAAGTAGCTCAGGACTGATTTTCTACACACTCCTTAAATGCCATTTTTATAAGAGGGGTCATGAACGTTGCACAGCAGGCCCTCCTTATCCGTGAATTCTACATCTGTGGATTCAACCAACCACGGACAGAAAATATTTGGAAAAAAAGTGCATCTGTACCGGACACGTATAGACTTTGACTAATGGTAATGACTTCTGGTCATTATTCTCTAAACAATACGGTATAACAACTATTTACATAGCATTCACATTGTCTTTGGTATTATACATAATCTACTGATGATTTAAAGTATACGGGAAGGGCCGGGAGGGGTAGCTCATGCCTGTAATCCCAGCACTTTGAGAGACCAAGGTGGGCAGATCACTTGAGGGCGGGAGTTCGAAACTGGCCTGGGCAACATGATGAAACCCCATCTCTATTATTAAAAATAATAATAATAAAGCATATGGGGGGATGTGCATAGGTTATATGGAAATACTACAGCATTTTATATCAGGGACTTCAGCTTTCTTGGATTCTGCTATCTAAGGGGAGTCCTGGAACAAACCCCCACAGACACCAAGGGGTGACTGTACTTTCAATGGCTCCTTTCCACTTTCCAAATTAAGTACAGGTCTTGTATTTCTAGCCATAGGCAGCATAAATCATCTGTACTTTTTTCATGCTCTAACCCAAACAGGATGGACCACCCTTCTCCCAAACATATGGCACATTTTCACATCTCTTTTTTCTCTGCCAACATCATTCTTACTTCCTAAAATGTCCACCTGTCTTCTACTAAAAAGTCAATTCAAGCCAGGCATGGTGGCCCACACCTGTAGTCCCAGCCCTTTGGGAGGCTGAGGTGGGTGGATCACCTGAGGTCAGGAGTTCAAGACCGGCCTGCCCAACATGGTGAAACCTCATCTCTACTAAAAATACAAAAATTAGCTGGGCGTGGTGGCACACGCCTGTAATCCCAGCCATTCTGGAGGCTGAGGCAGTAGAATCACTTGAACCCGGGAGGTGGAGGTTGCAGTCAACTGAGATTGTGCCACTGAGCTCCATCCTGGGTGACAGAGCAAGACTCTGTCTCAAAAAAATAAAAAATAAGTAAAAAGTCAATTCACTTCCTTCTTATTTTTCACTGAGGCCAAAAAGTGACCTCCTCCATGTCCTCTTTCTTGGAGCTTCCTCAGTAGAAGTGACCCCTCTGTCCTCTGCACTTTCCTGGTTCTTTGCTCATCTTTCCCTCTCTCATGCATTAACCACATTCTACTTTTATATCATAGTCATCTTTTTTGTCTGTCTCTCCTGAGGATGAGGGCCGTATCACAAATCAATGTTCGTATTTCCTGCAACCTCTAGAGTTGGCCAATGACTTGTACATTTCACTTAAATTAATAACAGCTAATATGTTTTATACAATTACCATGTGGTAGACCCTGTGCTGTGTGCATTGCAAATGTTACCTCATTTCATCTTCATAGAAAGTTTGTGAGGAAGGGACCATGCTGAGTTAACAGTTAAAGAACCTGAAGCTCAGAAAAGAGAAAATTAGACCAAGGTCCACTCAGCTAGCAAGTGGAGAAGATTGCATGTGAAACCAGGGATTGTGATATCAGAACCTCTGACTTTACCTACAACTCTTCGCTGTGTGAACAAATAGATAAGCTCTATCACAGTGATTCAGCCCAGCACAGAAACTGCTTAACTGAAAAGTGACGAAACGAGGTTCCCTTTCCTTTAGCTTTTAGGGGTTTTTAATTGCATTCGCATTTCAGACAAGTGTGATTAGTTGCTAAGAATATGATCTATTAAGTGGAAGCTCAGATGAAATCTTACTTTGTTGAGTCACTTCAAATGTATCAGATACTTCCAGGAATTCCCATTTTTTTATGAGAACTAAATTAGTCTATTATTAAGAATAGTAAAGATAAAGGAAAAGGGAAGGAAGAAGGAAAGCCTGCATTCTCCAAAAACAAGACCACATGAGGCTATAATGGCGTGGTTTTAGAACCAGTGGAAGGCAGTGCTAAACCCTAGTATTCTGTCCCTAGGTTACATACAAAAATGAAAGACAAGACACTGTAGAGATGAAGAGTTGCGTGGTCAGTTCTTATATGTAGTTCAAATAACCTATTTGTTTCATGTTTCAATTATATTTTTAATGATAAGCAAACTTCCTTAGGGTGTCTTTCATCTCCAGGGTATGTGTGTGTATGTCTGTGGTATAAAATAGGTCACTGGCTGAGAGTGGTGGCTCATGCCTATAATCCCAGCACCTTGGAAGGCTGAGGCAGGTAGATCACTTGAGCCCAGGAGTTGGAGACCAGCCTGGGCAACATGGCAAAATCCTATTTCTACAAAAAAAAAAAAAAACAAAAAAAAAAACAAAAATTAGCTGGACATGGTGGCACATGCCTGTAGTTCCAGCTAACCAGGAGGTTGAGGCAGGAGGATCACTTGAGCCAGGGAGGTCAAGGCTGGAGTGAGCCATGATCATACCACTGCACTCCAGTCTGGGCGACAGAGTGAGACCCTGCCTCAAAATAAATAAATAAATAAAATAATGTAGGTCACCAGGTCCATTTGAGGTAAATCAAAGTATCCCCCAAACAGAGACATTTATTATATTTCAGCCCACGGTTGTGGCTTCCAATGTTCCCAACATGAGTATTTTCAACACTGGAACTCATTTCTTCCACAGAATAAGAAAGAAGAAAGATACTAGTAATGCATTCTAGTCACCACTGACTAAGAGTTCAGGGCAGGGGGTGGGAGGTAAATACTCTTTGTCACACGCTTTCTCATTTACACAAAAGAGGAAGAGTGTGTTCGAAAGCCTAGGAGCTGCTGGAAACAGTGGTTAGCTGCAGACAGGCTCTAGGATATTTCTTTGGTTTTCGTAAGGCCCTCCTGGACCCGGCATTCTAGGTAATGCTTCCGTACTTGTGTCATGCTCAGTTCCTCTGTCTTGTTGAGCAACAGAGATGTCTGTGGCTCATTCCGAACGAGTTGCAAAGAAACTGAATCTGAACTATTTCTCTAATATACCTACTCCGAAGTGTTTCTACACCTTCGATTCGGGAATTGTGTTTTTGGGTGAAATGGAGCTGATAAGTAAACAAGAGCCAGTTTCTTGAAAAGATTAAGACAAAAGTAAAAGAAAACAAATATATGCCCCACCTCCCAGTCCCACTCCTACTTCTCACCCCTCAGTCACTCCACCCCAGCGCCTTCTGGCCTCCAATGCACCACCCACCCTTCTGCCTCAGATCCTGCGCACCTGCTGTTCCTTGGCGTGAAATGCTCTTCCCCAAGGGCGCCTTCTGTTTGCTCAAATGTCTTTCTTTTTTGTTTTGTTTGTTTGTTGACACAGTCTGGCTTTGTTATCAAAGCCAGAGTGCAATAGCATGATCTCGACTCACTGCAACCTCCACCTCCTGGGTTCAAGCGATTCTCCTGCCTCAGCCTCCTGAGTAACTGGGATTACAGGGATGTGCCACCATGCCCGGCTAATTTTTGTGTTTTTAGTAGAGATGGAGTTTCACCATATTGACCAGGCTGGTCTCGAACTCCTGTCCTCAACTGATCTGCCCGCCTCGGCCTCCCAAAGTGCTGGGACTACAGGTATGAGCCACTGCGCCCAGCCTTCAAATGTGTCTTTCTAAGTAAATTCTAGCTCCAAGGTTTAAAATTGCAGCCCCACTCCCAGCACACTCCCTTTCCCTCCTCTCTGCGTTTTTTTTTTTTTTTCAGTAGCAATTATCACCCTCTAAAATACTATATAATTTGACTTAGTTATTTTTCTTGTTTATTGTCTGTCTCCATGCCTCTGCTCCCATTAGAAATAGAAGCATCGTGAGGACAGGGATTTTCACCTGTATTTTTACTGCTTTATCCCCAGCACCTCAGAAAGTGCCTGCTTCAAAAGAAATAATTGTTGGATGAACAAATAGATGAGGATGGAGAAGCCCAGTTTGCTTTAAAATTGCCACCCATTTGACATCATCCCTTCTTTCTAAACCAGCTAAGAAGCTACATCTTCCATGAGAACAGGCAATCAAAAGATGGGAGGAGCTAAAATCCCCAAGTAAATCCTTTGGGACACCAGAGGAATGTGTGGATGATGGTGAGCGCACAGAGGGTGTTATGGCCTGAATGTGTATGTGCCCTCCCCAAATTCACATGTTGGAGCCCTTAACCCCCAATGTGGCTATATTTGGAACTAAGACCTTTAAGGACAAAATTAAGGGTAAAAGAGTTCATAAGAGTGGGGCCCTGATCCAATAGTGTCCTTATAAGAAGAGACAACAGAGAGTTCGCTCTCTCCCTCTGTGCACACTCAGAGAAAGGCCTCGTGAGGACGCAGGTAGATGGCAGCCATCTGCAAGCCAGAAAGAGAGCCCTCATCAGAAACCAAAATTGGCCAGAATCTTGATCTGGAATGTCCCCGGCTCCAGAAGGATGAGAAAATAAATGTCAGTTGTTTAAGCCACCCAGTCTAGGGTATTTTGTTACGGCAGCCTGAGCAGATGAATACAGAAGGCCAGGAAAGAGTCCTGAACTCGGGCATACAAGTATCAAGATAAACTTTGCCATCCTGAACACTTGGTTCAGGCTCTGATAGCAGCAACCATGCTTATCTGCTGAAGATCCTGTCCAGCCGTCTGACACATGGTCATGCAGGCCACAAATGCCAGCGCAACATGGGGATGAGAAGAAAGTACCCATAAATGGAAAGACTGATCACATGGCAACACTTTTATAGATATTGATGTAGATACAGATAGTATGTGTTTCCCAGACTAGTGTACAGATGATGTATATTTATATAACATCCAGTATAGCTAGTACTAGAATTTTTCCTCA